GAGTTACTCCTACGCAAAGCTGCGACGACGGCACGAACGTAAATAAAAATAGCAATAATAAGGAGCAAATATTGACGGATAATGTCAACAATAGCAATAATATAAGTGATACAACTGTGCCTTTGGATGAATGTAATAATTTTATCGGCGATACATGTAGTATTGATAAGAACGCGCCGGATGACGTAGAGACCGGCGTACAGTATGTTAAAGAACGCGGTAAATTAGATAAAAGCTACAGTACGCCCGCGTATGATCTATCGGACACCGAGGATAAGGAGGATAGAAAAGCAGCGCTTTTTCAGAATCCGTTTTGTAAATTAGATTTACCTGCTCATTGTTCAAACAATGTACCAAGTGGTGCTTCAACAAAGACTGATGTTTGTATGTATACCGAGAGTGCTGTTGATTACGAAAAATTGAAGAATACAAATGGAGATCATAAAGAAACGTCCGTGTCGAAGATGTGCGGCGGTAATGTTGCACGAAAAGTCAGCGACATCGAGAAACAGATAGCGCATGAAACCGCGGAGGAACAAGCAAGTGTCTTCGGAGTGCCTAAGGAATTAGATTCACATAAGAATATTATACGCATTAATGACGTGAGTCCTAATAATAATTATATAGAAGAGAAAAACCAAAGCAATATTGAATGTAACATAGGGGAAGTAAACGTAAATACATGTGACGAGAAGCATTTCATCGCGGAGTTAAGCAACGAATGCAAAAAAGATATCATAAACGAACTCCATTCTGGAGTTATTTGTTCGACAAATTTGGCAGACAAATGTCATGAGAATATTGTTTGCAATAATTCGAAAATGTCAAACAGTGAAGAAGCATACACTAGTAGTAGTAATAGTAATAGTAGTAGTAGTAGTAATAGCAGCAACAGCATTGAAAGAGACGAAACGTTGCAAAAATTCGGCAAAATTTTGCAAACAGTCGATTGCGCCTTAACTCAACATGCAAAATTGCTTGAGAAGAAGTCTTCCATGATAGTATCGAAAGAGGATTCTACCAAGACAAGGATGTCACCAAGCAATAATGTCAAATCTTCTATCGAGGACGACCTACCGAATGTTTCGATGATGCAAATTAGCGCAAAACCACAAGCTAAAGAGATAAAATCTGCGGATTCACCTTTGGCGCAGGCTACAGTACAATCTTGCCGTTATATAGAGTTACCGAAGATCGAGTCTGTTAGAAAACTCGAAAATAAATCTCACATAACACCGCCAGAACCGCCGCCTCGTAAGTATTACACGAACCACGCGGCAGTGACCGACTTGAAATTAAATACTACTCCAAAAATTCCGAACAGTTTGGAAAAACCTCAAGTTCCAGAGAGACCCAAAATAAGACAAGACTTTAGAAAAGTAGATAATTTGAATTTATCTGTGAATCACATCAGAAGCAATTCAGATTGTCAAAATAAAGAAAATTCCTCCTTCGATGTTAATACAGAAAATCCAGTTGATTTTATCGAACGACGAATTACAAGTCTAAATGATCAAAAGTTTACCCAATCCGATACTTCGTTATATAATGAAAATACCAATAAACAATCGAGAGAAGATAAATACTCTTTTGAAAAATACGAGCCGTTCATCGAAAAGTTTGCTTGCTCGAGTCAATCTATAACAGACTGTTATAAATCTGGTCATTCTCCTCGCAATATTGAATGCCCCGATGGTGCGACACACTCGAAACAAATGATATCCTTGGATCTAAAAGCAAAATCATCAGAGAAAGATAAAAGTTTCGAGAAAAGTGTTGTTAATAGAGCTATGATGGTAGCTAGAAGTATTGGCTTACACGGTAGTTTGAGCAAATCTAATAGCAGCCCGAGAAGTAACAGAAAACGTAATATGTTACTGGCAAGTAAGTAATTAAGTAACGAATTTTTTTTCAGTTCATTATACTTGAGATTTACTCATTATACTTGACATTATACAGATTTGTTTCAATAGTAATATGAATCAAATTCTTTGAAAATTTGTTGAAATACATATTATATGTATTCACATAAAATTATCTTTTATTTAAATATAATATATTGTAGTTTGATATACGCGAGTGATATTTTCAAAATCATATTTTATATTTTGAATTATTTGAGAAGATGAAAAAAATATATCGTTTTTTCTCTTTTTGTAGAGAGAAGAAATGTATCCGTAAAAGACATTGGTAGTGGTGATTTAGAAGGATGGCTGATATATCGAAGCAGAGGAGCAGGCGGCGCATGGGCAAAGGCTTGGTTCGTGTTAAAGTGTTCATCATTGTACAGGTAAAACTATTTGACAGATGCGTGTTACGACAATTTTTATGTACAGTATCGAATAAATGTACTAATTTTATTTTCTAGGTTTAAGACACAGGACAGTACGAAAGCTGACTGCTTGATCGTGTTAACGGGTTTTACCGTATCGCCAGCTGCCGAAGTAAAATCGAGAAAGTATGCCTTCAAGGTATATCATACGGGGACAGTATTTTACTTTGCCGCTGATGCCGAGGATTCGTTGATTCTGTGGCTAGACGCGGTCAGTAAAGGCACTCTGGGCGCAGATACCCACAATCAGACCATCGGACTTTTCAGCGAAACAGACGAAAGCGACAGTGAGAGTCACAAGAACAAGATAAAGTGTACTCTGGAATCTAAATCAAATCTGGAAAAGAATTCGTTTGGTTCTTTGAAAAAGGTCGTACGAAAAGATATCGGATCTTTTAAAGATCATCACGAAATTAGTGGGGCAAGCTTAGATCGAAAATATTTAAAGTTTCTCGGCGCCAGAAATCAAAATATGCCCGTTCCAACAGCGCAATTTAGAAGTTACAGAAGAGTACTTCCCACATCGACGCCAAATAAGTAAGACTAACATCATCGAGAATATCCCATATATATATGTTATATATATCGATGTATCTTCTTTAAACATAATGCCCCATGTTTTATAGAAAAGAAGATTCCAATTCAAATTCCTTGGATTTGCAAATGACTATCGCAGGTAGCACATTTTATGGATTAAGCGGTTCACAGAGCGCCATGGATATGTTGAGCCCGTCAAGCAATCAAGACATGGGTGATTACCGGCGTGCTACGGATAGGTAATTTTTATATATATCTTTTCCTGAATATTACATTACAGAAAAACGTTTTTCTATGCAGAGAATAGAAGATAACATATCTTGCAATATTTTATTGTTATAACATATAGATCCGTCGATAGCCGTAATAGAAGACCGGATGATTCGCAAAGCTTTAACATGGAAGAATTCATGTTGTCTCAACAGAATGAGGATCAACAGCGGTCAAATACGATAAATAGGTCGTTATCTCCGCGTGCGACTCCTTTGACCGGTGATCATGTGCATGTAGATCACAGAAACTTGAATAACAATGCGGCGTATGGCGAGCAAATCAGACAATTGAATGAGACATTCTTGAACAATGACATTGGCTTTATTTATGGCAAGACTAATGATGAAATCTCGAGAAGTAGTAGCACTATGTACGCTCATTCGAGAAATGCGCACGAGCATACGATGCGTCAATTTAGCGGGGACTGTTTAGTTACTGCCCGATCTGAGAACAAAGGGGATTGCATAAGCGATAAATCTTGTAGCAAGTACACGGCGGTCGGACAGAAAAGGATATGGGATCCATCCGGTTCCGCACAAAAGAGAAGAACGCAGGAGCTTGCGAACGTTCAGCA